CACAACGACAGCGACAGACTGATCGGGGTTCAAACCTGCAACCTTCTGAATACGGGGCGAGCGCTTAACTCTTGTGCCACCGTTCTACTTTCCTGTTTCAGCTTCCGGGGATCCAAAAGGGGGCGGGGCTTTAAACCCTGATCTTCCGTTGCTTTCGTGTGTGGAAATTCCAATTCCACCGTCTCTACTTGACTGGGACACCAATTTAAAGACAAACTAAAGAAACAGGTGTGCTGGGAGTCTGGAGCGTCTGCAGGGACACCTGCTGGTAGAACCGAGTCAGCGGACCAGCCAGAGCGTCCTGGAGGCCACGGCCCATTTAGCCCTGATTCTGCCAGCCAGCACCTGCTCGCCCTTAGTCACAAAGGCCTTGACGTAGAGGTGAGCGCCGCCTGTCTTCATGTGTCCAGGGTTCGTTTCAGTTCGTCCCCGTGGGCTGAATTAATTTCCGAACACCTTTGTGAGCCAACCAATTAGCTGGTGAGTAGCGTGCGGAGCCGAATGTGCCCAAACCTGCCCCTCAGAGTCACACGCTCTCACCGCAGCCTGATTATTTCACCCTGCTCCTGAAAAGAGTCCGGTTGCTTTTGCTTATGCTGCACATCTAATGACATCAGCTGTTGGAGTCACGGCTCCGCGGGAGTCAAGTTTCCCCAGAACCGCTCTGACCTTCCATCAGCAGAATGCCGCGTGATGGTTTGTGGCTCTGACTGAGGCACACTCGCATCTCACCCTGGAAGCAGAGAGGCGGGCAAACGGTGCTGATCGTCTCTCAGCGGTTCATTAGGCAGCAATAAGGTCGAGCATTAGCCCAAAGCTACACGATATCCAGGGCTGCTGATTCCACTTAGCCAGCATCTGTTTCCGCAGCTCGTGTCAGAGTCGATCCTTAAACAGCCAAATCAATATGCCAGAGATAATCAGGCAGCGCTGCAATCATCGTCTGACAGCAGGCGGAGGGGATGTGTGAGGGCCGATCCAAAGGTTAGCGCTCGGCTCGTTTCATCCACATAGGTCAGGAATGTCGGAACGTCAGGGGAAGATCGGATCAAAAGTCAGCAATAAACGATTAGAGGAGGAGAAGCTCAACTTCCAGGGCTGAGGTTTCCTCCAACTGTAAACCTAAAGGTTTTCACTAAAAGACAGGAACATCTCCGGTTTCATTTCCCAGATGGATGAGCAGGAAAACTAAAGCCTTTGGAGCCATCAGGATAAAATGTTCTGTAACCCATCAGCTCGTGAGTTTCTCTCTACTGGGCCTTAAAGACACCTGAATCTACCACCTGTCAAATGAGTCTGATATCCAGGTGAGAGGGCTAGCCCTAACCCTTCTGGGTCAGGGTTTGGTTCTGATGAGTCCCATCAGCCCCGGAGGGGGTGGGGGTGTGTGTGTGTGTGTGTGTGTGTGTGTGTGTGTGTGTGTGTGTGTGTGTGTGTGTGTGTGTGTGTGTGTGTGTGTGTGTGTGTGTGTGTGTGTGTGTGTGTGTGTGTGTATATATGTATATAGGTGTGTGTGTAAATGAACATGTGTGTGGGTATACATGTTCTTATGTGTTTTTAGGTATTTTTATTCTCATTTATTGTGGTTGTTGTCTGTTTTAGAGAGCGAACATCTACCGAAGACAAATTCCTTGTAAATGTAATTTTACTTGGCCAATAAAATCTGAATCTAATCTAATCTAATCTAAATCACTATCATCACAATCATCATCATCATCATCATCACCATCATCACTATCACCATCATCACCACCATCATCATCATCATCACTATCACCATCATCACTATCACCATCATCACTATCATCATCATCATCATCACCATCATCACTATCACCATCATCACTATCATCATCATCATCATCATCATCATCACCATCATCACTATCACCATCATCACTATCATCATCATCATCATCACCATCATCACTATCACCATCATCACTATCATCATCATCATCATCATCACCATCATCACTATCACCATCATCATTATCATCATCATCACCATCACCATCATCACCATCATCACCACCATCATCATCACCACCACCATCATCACTATCACCATCATCATTATCACCATCATCACTATCACCATCACCATCATCACCATCATCACCACCACCATCATCACCATCATCACCACCATCATCACTATCACCATCATCATTATCACCATCATCACTATCACCATCACCATCATCACCATCATCACCACCACCATCATCACCATCATCACTATCACCATCACCATCATCACCATCATCACCACCACCATCATCACCATCATCACCACCATCATCACTATCACCATCATCATTATCATCATCATCACCACCACCATCATCACCATCATCACCACCATCATCACTATCACCATCATCATTATCATCATCACCATCACCACCATCATCACTATCACCATCACCATCATCACCATCATCACCACCACCATCATCACCATCATCACCACCATCATCACTATCACCATCATCATTATCATCATCACCATCATCACCATCATCACCACCATCATCACCATCATCACTATCACCATCATCATTATCATCATCATCACCACCACCATCATCACCATCATCACCACCATCATCACTATCACCATCATCATTATCATCATCACCATCATCACCATCATCACCACCATCATCATCACCATCATCACCACCATCATCATTATCACCACCATCATCACCATCATCACCACCATCATCATCACCATCATCATTATCATCATCACCATCATCACCATCATCACCATCATCACCATCATCACCACCATCATCATCACCACCACCATCATCACCACCATCATCATTATCATCATCACCATCATCACCATCATCACCACCATCATCATCACCATCATCACCACCATCATCATTATCACCACCATCATCACCATCATCACCACCATCATCATCACCATCATCATTATCATCATCACCATCATCACCATCATCACCATCATCACCATCATCACCACCATCATCACTATCACCATCATCATTATCACCACCATCATCACCATCATCACCACCATCATCATCACCACCACCATCATCACCACCATCATCATTATCATCATCATCACCACCACCATCATCACCATCATCACCACCATCATCACTATCACCATCATCATCACCACCACCATCATCACCATCATCACCACCATCATCACTATCACCATCATCATTATCACCACCATCATCACCATCATCACCATCATCACCACCATCATCATCACCACCACCATCATCACCACCACCATCATCACCATCATCACCACCATCATCACCATCATCATCACCATCATCACCACCATCATCACCATCATCACCACCATCACCATCCTACCCATCATCACCACCACCATCATCACCATCATCACCATCCTACCCATCATCACCACCACCATCATCACCATCATCACCACCATCATCACCATCATCACCATCCTACCCATCATCACCACCACCATCATCACTATCATCATCATCATCACCATCATCCAGGAAACACTGAGGAATTAAAACCAGACAGACGTTATAAAACATGTTGATGATAGTTTTATGGCTCTGGTTCTCCTGAAGACCAGTACAAGTTTCAGAAGAACCTTTTATATCAGACTCCTGAAACCACCACAAAACCATCTCTCCCAGTTGGTTTAGTGGGTGTTGAACTGGACTGGTTTGACTGTGGTCCCGATGCAGAAACATTTGTAGTTCTGATATTTAACAGAAGGTCTCATTATTTCTCCATCATGTGAAGAAAACATGGACTCTCCTCGTGAGGAAGTTCAGAACAGACTGATGCCCTCAGCGGTCCGTCTGAGTGATGCTGCTTCTCTTTTGCTCCGTCTCCTTTCATCGATTCTCTTTCCTCTGATCTCACTTGCTGCTCATTCTCCTCCTGTCCTCCTGGATGCTGGATATAACGTCTCCTATCTCCTCTCACTCTGCATTGTTCAGCCCACTCTGCCTTCCCAGGGTCTGGCTCTGAGAAGGCAGGGATTATCCCACCAGGGGATTTCCACTTGACAGAGAGTGGGCCGTTTCTGATCTCGTTCTAGTTGAAGATGTTCGTAAGGAACACGATGTTCAGACATGAGTGGTGAACTCAAGAGGGTGAAGTTTGTTAGGAACGAGGAGAGGAAGTCAGCAGAGCTAAAATGAGATGGAGGTCCAGACCCTCCTCCTGGAGACATGAACTTATTAAGATTCCACACCGAGATCACTTTGACTGCTACCTGCTGCAGGTAAGACACCGACTGATCAGAACCGGTCCTCACAACCAATCAGGAACAACCTGTTCCAACTGGACCCACGATCTTTGCTGAAGGAAGATGACAAAAATGTGTGTGTGTGTGTGTGTGTGTGTGTGTGTGTGTGTGTGTGTGTGTGTGTGTGTGTGTGTGTGTGTGTGTGTGTGTGTGTGTGTGTGTGTGTGTGTGTGTGTGTGTGTGTGTGTGTGTGTGTGTGTGCTCTGTCTTCTCCATCCCCAGTGAGTCGTGGAGGATGGCTGCTTATACTGAGCCAGGATCCTGTGGAGGTGTCTTCCTGTTAAAAGGGAGTTTTCCTCTCCACTGTCGCTGCATGCTTGCTTGATTATTATTATTATCATCATCAATAACTAGTACTAGTAGTAGCAGTGGCGGCTGGTGAAAAATATTTTTGGTGGGGCTGTGCCATTTTATTTTTAAACAAACTTGTGCTTTCTGAGCTTTGTGCACAACTTCACTATTTCCTGAATTAAGCACAGCTCTTTTATTTCCTGTCTTACATTATTGGACAAAGGGATTAATCCAGGTGTGTCTGACTATTGGTACACTACCTTGCGGACCAAGGTTGAAAAATACTGCATTAAACTGCACATAAAATAACACGACCATATATGGTCCACATCCACATTACTGTTTGTGAAACTAACATACTGGAGAATTTCATCACAATAATATTAAATAAACAAGTATGTACCTGATCTTTTGCATGCTGTTGGTGAAGCTCTGGATGACCCCTGTGATGGAGACAGAGTCAGTGTTCCTCTTCTGCAGCTGGTTGAACAGCTTGTCCACATGTGGCATGATCTTGTGACACAATGCCAGCAGAAAGCCGAAATCTTCTTCCTCCAGCATTCTCACAAAGCCTCCTGCCTCTCTCTCAGTGACTGGATCAAAGTCATCCGAGTCTCTGATCATCTGGAAACATCTGAGGAGGTCATCCTTGTGCTCATACACTGTGTTGACATCTCTCTCTTGGACAAAATGTGCCGGTTCTGATCCACTTCTTCATTGTGTTTCTTCACTGCAAGCCTGCGTCCCTCGTCTCTAGCTGCATGGCAATGTTAGCTCTGCCTAGCATGGCTAGCTTCACCGTGTTGTCCATGTGCGCCCGGGATGACTCGTGTTTCTTCACCTTCTCAGAAAAATGTTTCATGTCCGTAACTCCTGACTCAATCCATGCCTCATCTGTCACCGTCGTTTTGAATAACAGACACGGAAAGCAAAATAACGCATTAGCGTGATTGCATCCAGCTAGCCAAGCCTTCCCAGAAGCCTCGTGTGTACAGTTTACCCTTCTCCTTGTCCTGCTGGCTTCTCTTTACGTCGGGCTGATCTGGTCCAAGCTCTTTGACATTAAGTTTTTCCACCATAGTTCTCCTCTCGAACGGATGATACTGGAGAAGAGACCGAACTGAATTCAGTGGCTGCTGAGATCCGGTATCCTGGTTGTAGGCTCACTGGCGTCCATTACATCGGCCTCACGAGACTCTCCGAGTTCTACCGAACACAAACGAAAGCCTTGGCGGTAGCTCTATCGCCCATCATGCTTCTGAAACGTTCTGAAACAACGTCGACGCTGATTGGATACATTCCCATTCCTACCCTTTGATTTTCTTGTCAGCAATTGGACGACTGGTCCCGTCCTGTTTGGGCGGTTGAAAAACAGCTCACAGCCTCCACCGCTCGGCAGAGACCGGCAGAGACCAATATAGATATCATAGACTGTACATATACAGTCTATGATAATATGATAGATTATATATATATATATATATATATATATATATATATATATATATATATATATATATATATATATATATATATATATATATATATATATATATGATTTGTTTTTGTTACAAAATACACAATTAACTTAAAATTAACAATAATCACATATTCGATTTATTTATTTATTTTTAATAAAAATTAAAAAACACTGGGGAAACTGGGAGGGCGGCGCCCTATCGCCCTCTACTGGCCAGCCGCCACTGAGTAGTAGTAGTAGTATTAGTATTGTACATAAGCTGAATTGACTTGTCAACATCGGACATGCCTCTGGGGCGACAGACGACGCGGTTTATCCTGCAGGAAGCGGCGCTTCTAGGAGCTGGTAGATGCAGCAGGACTGCAGAAGACAGATTAAAGTCAGGCGGAGAAGCAGCCCGACATGAAGAGTCCTAACAGAGCCACAGGCAGCGGCGGCGTTCCAGGATGGGTTGTGTTGTCACTGCCTTTTATCCACCAACAAACGTGACTGGAGCGTAGGAGCTGGCCGCCTGGCGGACCATCAAATGGAGGTTCTGCTCATCCTGACAGAGATGTTTGTTCTTAAGAAGCTCTGGAGCTGTTGGAGGCTGAGCTGGAAGAAATCCCATCCTGTTAGAGAACAGACATCCACGCAGATCCTGTCAGAGGAGTTGGCTCCGAACTTCCTCACCTACCGGGAACGTTTGATGTTCTTGGCTGGATTCAGCAGGATGATGAGCCCGGTTGGACGCACATCTGAACATTTTCTTTTCATCCACCTGAGAAAACTGGAGTAAGAACATTCATTTATTCAGAGTGAGGTCACCAGGAGATCGTCGTCTGTCTTCTGGCTGATCAGGACTGATTTTCTGCTTTTAGCTCAAACGTCTCCTGAAGCGAAGGACAGCTTTTAATACGACTTCCGGTCCTTCCTGTCGCTGTTTAGGGTCTGAAACGATGGATCAGACACTTTTGCTGTTTTTAATACCCGGAAATAACAAACGGAGCCGTTAACATAACCAAGTGTGCGTTACATTATTATGGGATGGCATCACAGTACTAAAGGTTAAAAGGTGCCCTCACCACCTGTAGGTCCTCCACCAGGGGGCAGCAGACATGTAGAGGATGGATGTGGTAGGTTTCTGGTGAAGGTACTAATCCTGATGCTGCGTCTGAAGGATTTATGGACACACGGGGTTTGAGGGATCCAATGGGCTTTCAGATCGACTCCTACATTAGAATTCCTGGTTCCGGTAGAATTCCCCCTCCTGATTCTGCAGCAGGTCAGATCCTGACTGATCAGAACTATTCCTCAAGAACTCCAACTAAAATGCACCATGTGCTCCTTTAATGGTTAATTAATACAGTAAATTCATGTAAACAATAGAAAATATAATAAAAGTCTGATCTTCTCCAGGGTCAACTACAAATAAAATCCTTCTTCTGTTCATTCCAAACAGGAAATGAGCTGTCGTGAGTCATGATTAGACTATTAGCAGGACTTTTATACTGAAATTATTAAATATAAAGACATTTTTGTTCTGTAATTTCACATTTTTCTAAACATTTTGTTCTGGATAACTGAATCTTTTGCCGCCTGAGAGGCTCCACCACACCGGCAGGAAACATTTGCATCAGAGATTATTTTATATTTTTGGACTAAAATGTGATGAAGTCAGAAATCTACGCGAGTCTCTGAACTGCATCCTCATGTCTGGACCACGTTTTCTACCAGCTCCGGCACCTCAGTTAAAGGCCAAGTTCACTCCTTTCCACACATCTGCGCTGGTCTCTGGTCGGGCTGTGACGGATAAACCGATGCAACCAGAGGCTCGGCTCAACTAAAGAGGTGCGGCTGCGTCGGCGGCAGCCTCCTCATCCATAAGAGACAGAATTCCTAGATGAATCGGTTGCAGAGTCATGGATCGGGATTGCGAGACGTTGAATCGGTTGGCAGTCACACGAGTGCCAGCCTCTCTTAGACAACGTGTGAGCTGAAGCTGCTGCTGGTGTTGGCATGAGTGATGGACAAGTGGAGGAGGTGGAGAACGACAGCATCGTTGCTTAATGCATGAGAGGAGGAGCCGCGGTCAAGACCCCGGGGAGCGTGCAGCCAAGAACATTTCACATGTTCTCCAGCTACTTGGTCACAATTCAGCACGCGTTGAGGAAGTCACGGCATCAGTCGCACGTTTCGTCACAGAGGAATCATGTGACCATGCAGTGGAGCAGGAGGCGTTTAAATAGCCCAGATATACGACACGCTCCTGACCAACACGCGTACGCCAGCGTTGTTTGTCCGAGTTCAGAGCCAAGCTGAACGAGTGGTAGCAAGAAGCGACGCTCGGACGTCACGTGTGACGACCGCAAAGCTCCGGATTGGCGGTCTTGAACGCGTCGCTGGGAAGAACAGGTGCTCTCCTGAAGCAGGCGTGTGCTGACCGGAACCTTCTTGACAAAGAGCCAGCCCAGTAACCGACACCAACGTGGTTCTAGCTGGTGTGGAAGCCGAGAGGAGTCCTCTCCTCTTGTTCTGGAAAAGCACACAGCATTCCGAGGAGAAGAAACGGGCTGGGCATTCAGTGTGTGACCTCTGACATCACAGGGCCTCTCCTCTGCTACAGCCGCACATCTAGAATGCAACCTGACCTGAAGCATGCGTGGTAATGCTCGTGAACATTCCCACGTTCCACAAACGTCACAGCAGAGCAACTTCACAAAGGTCTGGAACACCAGCGAAAGGAAAAGCATTCCAAGCTTTTCCGAAAGGATTTAAAAAAACATCCTAAAAATGTTTTTTCAGTAAAGATGGTCTTTAGCAAAAAAATAAGTCAAAAGGTAAAAACAACAACATCAACAATCATATAAATAATAAAAATAATATTTATAATTATAACATTATTATTATTATTTATAATAATTATTATTTTAGTTAATAATCAGTAATAATAAAGTGAATTTGTTGTTTTCCCAGGAACGTGGGTAAATCGTGACTCCTCCACCGGATTCGATCCCAGTTTTCTCCTCTGGTTTAGGTTCTGGGTCGTGTTCTCTCCTCCGTCTGCTCGGTTCTGCTGGACGTCCTCCAACACGCCACCTCCCAGCACCAGTTTTGAAGCGCCACCTGTTTCATACAATCCCATTTCAATGTCTAATCAGCCCCATTCACGTTTCTGCCGGTGACTCACGCTGGAAATCAGTTTCTAAAGCCTCCTTTCAGCACCAACCGTGGATTTCCACACAGCTCCACTCTCATTACCAGAACTCGAGTGCAAAGCTGGAAATTCAGCGGCCCGGGTCAAAGCACTGCGAGCACAGAAGACGGCTCTTTGTTGCTCTCTCCCTCTCTGGATTCGAGTCTGGGCGCCCTCAAGGTTAGCCGATTAGCATACAACATCAGATGTGTGTATTCAGAGGCGTCCGGGAGGCGAATCAGGTCTCAGCTCCTGCATACATGCACATGTGGCATTAGCATGTGTTCCAGTTCTCTGACCCACAAACCGGGTCAGGCTGTGGTGTACAGCAGCCATCCATCATGGCGGTTCTGGAATCAGGAGCTTCTTCCTCTTCCACAGGAACACAAACGGTCTTCCACTCCGTCAGCGATCAGCAAATCGATGCTTCGGACTTTAAAGTTGAAGCAACAGAGACGGTTTCATTGATTTTTCTGCACATTCTCTGCAGCTTTGATCTGAAGCAGCCTGAGAGCCGCTGCTCTCGGCACAAACACCAGAACACGGAAACTTGAGGTCGGCGAGCTGACATGACCGCGGTGTTAGCCACAGGAGCTCTACAGCTGCTGTTTCAGGGCTAACCCTCTCATCAAAACACTCCTTCACCAAAGAATGTGCTACTCCGATTCACTGAAGGATGGGAACAGGAAGTGCAGAATATTAGATTAGAATAAATATGAACTTCTGGATCAGTGGAATGTTGCATCAACGCTTTTTCAGGTTCTGGTGAGTCAGCTGATCCCGGACCACAGGAAGGACACGTGGACACAGAAAACAGGGTTGTCTTCATCAACGTTCTGCCTCTGGTAACTCAGGTCAGTATTATTTTGGGGTACAGCTTTATGTTTGAGACTCTTATTGTGAAATTTTAAAAGATTTGACCCGTTTCCTCCCCGTGTTTGTCCTGGCCTCCGACCCCTCCGGCACATAAATGCAACCCAGAGCAGATTCTCTCCTTTGTGGTTTTTTATCTTCAACTTCATTCAAAGTTTACCTGCAGGAAAATGTTGGTGAAACCTGGTGAGAGCGGGCCGATACCAGTCAGGCCATGAACCGTCCTAAAGTACAGCACGTGCACATGTGCATGTATGAGCGTGCACGTGAACCAACAGGAACTTCGGAGTTCTGCAGATGATGAACAAGTCAGAGGACAGCTGCAGCTTCAGTTTAGCTCTCTGTGTTTAGCCCCGCCCCCGTCAGGTCCACACATTTCCGTGTTTAGCCCCGCCCCCGTCGGGTCCACACATTTCCGTGTTTAGCCCCGCCCCCGTCGGGTCCACACATTTCCGTGTTTAGCCCCGCCCCCGTCAGGTCCACACATTTCCGTGTTTAGCCCCGCCCCCATCGGGTCCACACATCTGTGTTTAGCCCCGCCCCCGTCGGGTCCACACATTTCCGTGTTTAGCCCCGCCCCCGTCGGGTCCACACATTTCCATCTGCAGCAGAAACCATCTGGAAGAAGGACGCACAAGGAAGTGCCAGCTGGCCCTGACTACCATTTTTAGTCTTTAGCCGATCACAGTAACTCGAATGATGGGTACCATGTGCGTCTGGAAAACAACAACAACTCACTCAAGCTTAATTCATTCATTCACTCACTCACGCGGCATTACCATGTCTTCAGGGGATTTCTGCCGGTTTTGCAGC